GCAGTTTTGCCACCCTTTGTTCGGTAGCATTTTGCACGGTGAGGCTAGGGGGTTGAAGGTCTCATCTCTTTGCTGCAACACCCGCCCCCCCCACAAACCTTCAAAAGGGTTGCCCAAAAACAGGCACACCGCTTGCCCAAGTAACACCCATGAACCGCCAGAAGGACACTACAAAGACGGGTGGCCCGAAAGCATTGTGTGTTGACCTTTCAACAGCAAAGCTGCAGAATGTGTTCCCCCGTACTTCACCGAGATTCTGCGTCGCCTCTTTGATTTTGAATGGTGCCGGAGACTCTCCTGCAAATTGTCCGGCCAATCTCAATGCGCACTATCTTTGGAAAGATTGTCTGCGCCGTCTCTCTGCGCAAGTTTTCAGTGTAACTCAATACGCAATTTGTCTTGCACAGGTTCTCTCTGCCATTCCACTTGTGAGATCGGCAACCATTCTGCGACTCCCGCCCAGCGTTTTCTGTTTTGAGAGGGTTTCAGACGCAGATAGCCCAGAACCCCTCCATTGATTTTCAGGTTCGGAAGGCTTGAATGAGTTTCGGGCCAAACCAGGACACCCTGGTGAACTGGCATGCTTGGCACCATCTCAGTTGGACCTGGCATCGCTTCTCGCAGGGCAGTTTCGTTAGCCGCGGCTGCACGGCTGTCGCCCAGAGAGAGTTTTCTTGAAGCAAGGCTAGGCGCTCTCACTGTTTGGAAGAAGGGGGGTCGGCAGCAGCTGGCGGTTGATTCGCGTCGAGCAAACCCTTTGTCTGCCCGGGGTGCCGGAGTGATGGTGACGGTTGAAGGAGCCTGTTACAGCGACTACACCCTTGCTTCAAGGTTGTTGTGGTGGGATGGACCCATGCTTGGTGGGCGCGCCAGCAATGTCATGAGCGTATCAGTCTTGGGCGTACAGGGCAGTTTGTGGACAGCGCGCCTATTCCCAAAATGAGCCGTTCATCCACATTGAGTACGCTGACCAAATTTTGTGGCGCTCTTGCAGAGTTCTCCAAGGTTGGAAGGAAGCTTTGGAAAAGAGGGCTACTGACTCACAATGTGGAGGCCGCCGTAGGGATGGAGAGCCTGGGTGGGAAACTGTGGCGGTTGAGGTTGCAACGCAAGAGCTTTTGAAGGAGGGGACAGCTTCCCGCAAGTTGGTGGAGAAAATCATTGGGAACTTCACTTTTGCTGGTCTCCTTCGTCGGGAGTCAGGCGCACTATGAGAAGGAGGTGGTTAAGCAAGAGCTGTTTTGGGCATTGTCGCTGCTTCCCTTGAACTTCAGGGACCTGTCTGTCGATAGAGAGGACGCTACAAGATTTTCGAGTTGAGGGGGAGTTTACTGTGATTCTGTGATAGAAGAAGCCCTTCTGGGCGAAACGAAGCAGCAGCCGGGCGGTCGTGTGCTAGAAGCGCCTGTTGGAATTTTGGAGGGCCTTGGAGGAGGATGAGCCTGCCAGGGAACCAGTCGGCGTACGACGCGGGCCTTGGAGAAGGGGGTGGACCTATTGCCGGTATGGTGGCGCTGCTCGCAGTGAGGGCGGAGGTTGCGAAGGTCGGCCAAGGACTGACCAGAGCTGCCGGCGATTTCCGCATGCTGTGCAGAACAAAAGATGTCCACGGGAGTGGCGCTGTGGCTTCTCATTGTTTGGGTGGTTTTTGTGGCCGTCCTGGACAGGTACGTGTCTGGCGGCGCGTCAAGTTTCCTGAAATTTCTTTCCAAGATCAAGGCTGTGGTGGACAGGCAGTGTCTGCAGCGCCGCGTCTGGGAAAGCTCGCGCCCCCAGTTTTCACGGGTGTGGCAACGTGCCTGCCGCAACGTGTGTGGGAGAAGTGTCACATACGCAGCCGCCTTTTGATAGCATCATAAGGTATTTGCGCAGGTGATGGTGCCAAGCTCTAAAAGCGGTTGTTTCATATAGCGGCGACTGACTCCACTTCTCTTATCGACCCAGCTTTAGCCTGGGTAGACCAGGCTCCCGTCACTTTGGGCTACCGCACGGCGGCCCAGTGCTGATTTGAGGGTGAGCAGCGGGCGTGACAAAACTCGGTTGCAGGCAAGTGGCATGCCATAACTATGGCGTTTTCAAGTTTAGCGCTGAGGCCCCTCCGTTGAACCAAGCTCGGTGCCAAGCAGCTGCCGCAGCTGCTTGGCCGCGAGTTGTTTCTTTCTTTCCCTCTGTTTTTTGGTAGTTAATGGACCCCTGTGTTCAGGCAAGTAGCAATTGGAGCATTGTTGGCTTTGCCAGCCGCGCATGCCGTCAACATGTTGCGTGCCGCCGCTGGCGGCTGGCATCCAACTTCAAGCCACTTGGGAAGGGCGGGGTGTTGTGAAGCGAAGCCAGAAGCAGAAGCAGCAAATCTGGGACACATAAATGTTCGTTCGCTCACAGGCTTGTCGTTTTACCCCATGTAAACCTTCGCGCGCCCAAGCAGACTTGTCAGCGACCTGTCCCTAAATGGCAATATGTTGCCTCGAGGTTCTCGGCGGCGACCTCTTCGTGATAGGAGGCGGGTCCTGCGTTGCAGCGTTCATCTCGCTCACCAATGGACCATGATTGTTGCTCGTGTTAGTAGCTGCGCCCTGTCGTTGAAATATACTGATCGTTGCTTTTGATGAGCTTGGCATCGTCTCAATTGGATTTGCTTGAAATTCCTTCAAGCTCGCTCATGTGGTGCCCTTCTCGGTGAGATTATTTCGTTCACCTTGCCAAGACGAACGAGCGTGTAGTTCTGCTGAGCAGGGAGGTTTGAGGGAGGCATGTGGGCACGTGTGCCACACGCTGTCTTTTCTAAGGAGGTCGAGCTGCCAAAGTTGCAGTGTGTTTCAAGCTTTTGGCTTAACACGAGTCGAAAAAGTAGTCTGTTGTGTGTCATTAAGGTCGCTGCGCAGTCGCTTGGAATTTAAAGCATCGTTCTTCGCGGGGTGGCTTAGCCCGAGCCTCTGCAATGGGCTCGAGCCTAGTGCGTCAGTCAGCCTGTCGCTGCGCGGATGCCGCCGCCTCAGCAAACTGTGGTTTTCGTACAGCATACTCCTCCATACCCAACTAACAAGCATCATATCCATGGTGTGTCCCACGAAAAACGGCTTGCCTACCGGTACACTGACTGGGGCTTGCGCCTCAGGATTTCGAAGTTTAGGGCTTGTGGTTCGGGCTTTGAGGGTTCATTTCGTAAGGTTCGGCTTTGGGTGCAAGATCTTCTACGTTGTAGGATGTTAGGGCTTAGGCAGGAGTTGAAAAGGGAAAAAGCTTCCAGAGAAAAAACGAACGGGAGGGGGGCGGGGTGGCTGAAAAAGACCAATGATGGGAAGTCAAATCCCTGAGGCAGATGCAGAGGGTGTTGCTTCTCCGAACCCCTCAATTTGCATGGCTGTATCTCTGTCGCGTGACAGACACGCAGCGAGTAGTATGTATGCATGTGTGTGTTGTATGTAACTGTGATGTGATGCAATGTCGCTAAACCTAATGTAAGGTGTGTGTGTACTTGTATGTGTGTCTGCGTGATTGCAGTGTACCGCAGTGTGGTTTAGTGAAGTGGGCTGTAATTGTACCGTAATGTGCCGCAACGTGGCGCAAGGCAGCGCGTGTAATGTAACGTAATGTAGTCTATTTTTTGGTGCGTGTGTGTGTATGTATTTGTGTATGTGTGTATGTATGTATGGATGTATGTATGTATGTATGTGTGTGTATGTGCGTACGTACGTATGTATGTGTGTATTTATGCATGTATGTATGTACCCATGCATGTATGTATTTGAGTATGTCTGTATGTCTGTATACGAGTATGCGTGTTTATATTAATATTTGTGCATGTCTGTGTGTGTGCATGTGTGTGAGTCATGTGTTTATGCAATGTCATGTAATGTGTTGTCTTGTACTGTCAGGTCTGTGTGTGTATGTGGCAGCACCGTCTTGAAAAGTGCGTTTGCAAGGTGGGGAGCGCATCGTGATGCGCGTGAGCAAGGATGAAGCGGCTGGCGAAGGCGATGCAGCGGTCAGGTAGGGGCGCGCAAAACTCGGTGCAACAGCCGGGCCTGCGCCGCGGTGGTATTTTCTGCGCTCAAGCAGTGAGGCTGAAGTTCGGACGCCGGAAGGCCGAGTTTTCTGGAATCACGCTGTCGTGGGCTAGGAAACACCTGGGCCGGTTGGTTGTCTTTCCAGCATCGGAGAACCCCGTTCTCGTGTTGTGGTGTGTGAGGGCAGATTTGGGGAGTCCTGGAAGACGACTCGCAGAGATCTGGGGAAGATTTGGGCTTCACGAAGGGTGCTTTGTTAGACAGATCGATTTTATTCGGTTAAGTTGCGGCATCTCGAAAGCAGAAATTGCCGTGACGCAAGGCCAGCTTTCGAGATGGTGTTACCATGAGTCCCGCCTACTATAGCAGCACTTGTAGGTTTTGCAACAGTAGTTATAAGACCCCGCGCCAGAAGTTATAAGTGCCATAAGTACCATAAGTTCTTGAAATGTTAGCGCACTTTCGGCGGGACTTAGAGGTAAAATAGGCTTGTTTGTGGAACATACTTAGCAGACTTGCTACTTGCGCTACTTACGATTTGTGTTTGTTTGCAAGGGTCCGCGCAGTTGCTCTTCCCGGGGCTCGAAGATTGTTTTTTAAGGAAGTAGACGCAATGCAGAGCGAAGCATAAAATGGTGAATGTCGGTGGGTGCATCGTGGCGCCGCCAGCATGTCGTGTCGGTGAATTGTCGGTGAATGTCGGTGGGCTTCGTCCGAAATTGCGAAAAGCGGGCCTTGGCGTATCTGCTTGTATGTTTGGCTCTGCAGCTCTTCGTGCACTAACTGCGCGCCGGACTGCTTTGAGCCAAAAAAGCCGCGGCGCGTTTTTTTTTTTTGGGGGGGGTCAGTGTCCCTCGCCTTTTTCGCGCACTTCGGCGCCAATGCCTTTGGAACAACGACAACAGCGCATCCTCTGAGCTCCGCTCTCCAAAAGCGTTCGGGCTTTGACGATCTGGGCCGTTGCTGGAAAGGATCAGGGGAATCTGACCGCAGCTCAAGGGTCGGACGCGATGTCCAGCTTCTCACACACGTTTGCGGAAATCAAGCACAGTGGTAGTGGTTCTGGGCCGGCCCAGGATGCTTCTCCTGTCATAGGAGCGAGAATCTGAGAGACTGAAGTCTGGTGAAAGCTATTTGGGCAGCCCCATCAAGAAATGAGACAGGTTGCGTCGGAAGGCTCAGTAGCCAAAATTGGGTGAGGTCCTTGCGCCTGCGGATGCAAGATAAGAAGAACAAGGAGAGCGTGGTGAGTTGGACGGAGCCGCATTGGCCGAGGAAGCCGGCGTAGCATCCAACACATGTGAGCCGGACTAGGCCACCGATCGCCGGAGTCAAGACAACTCACAGGCAGCTGAGGTGGTGGCTTGGAATGACAGCAGCAGTAAGAGAATTTTTTCCTGGGACACCAGTTCAGCAAGTGGGCGGGGATGTGAGGAGGGCTTATGGGCAGGGTAGTCAGTCAGGCGCTTCCCAGCCCCCAAGCCGCCCTACCAGCTGCCTCATAGGCAGGACAGTTCCAGGAGGTTTTTCGGGCGTGGGCAAAGCCGTCCTGGAATTTCCACGAGGCCCAAATTTGACAACCCCAGTCTTTGAGGCGTGAAGCAAAGCGGGTTGGTGAGCAGCTGGGGTCGGTGGCTGGCCGGTTGACTGCACGCTTGGGGGCTAAAACGGGCTGTGACATCTATCTATCTGCGTTGCTCTGGTTGCTCCCTGGGCTGTGCGTCTCTGCTCTGAGCAAACCAAGCTCTCTAGCTATCTACGGTGCGCTGTGGGCTGCTTCTGCGCGCTGACCCAGCCGGATGTTCCACACTCTCTATCTATGTCGCTGTGCGCGCTACTTTCGTAGGTAGCAGGCAATCTCATTTGTCTCTGTGCAAGTGTACAGAGCGCCCGCAACCGCTGCCTTGCTGCGGCCAAGAAGCGCCGAGACTGACGCATGACGGAAGCCAGCGTGAAAAGCATTTTTCCCGCCTTGCGCTGGGTGTGCATGTAGCCCTCAACGCAAGAAACTGTTTGTGACACTGTTTATCATCCATGAGAACGCAGCTTGGGAACGCTGGACTGGTTCAGCGTGCCAAGTTGTGAATATCGCACACTTCCTTGCAGGGACAAGCGCAGCAGGCCACAGGCGCAAGAGTCTCTGGAGGGGAACATGCGCACGCAAGCGGATGTTGAGTGACCTGACTTATTTCCAATGTGAAGTGATTGCGCCCCATTGATGTTCATGAATCAAGCTTGGCGACACAAAAAATCAGGGCTGAGTGCCATGTGTGTTTCGCCGCCGAGCTATGTCCTTGTGATTCACTTCCTATTCTTGAATCAGGTCTGGCAGGCTTGGGTGTTCAAGGTATCATTACTCATTGCAGTTCCAACTATGCGAATTTTGGCTGGTGATCCAAACTGGCTAGCTGTCCCAGGAGTGACCTGTGATCAGACATGCGGGTTCTCCGTCTGGGGCCGTGCCGCGGGTGCCGATCCGGCTCAAGCTTGGGAGGGATACCATGCTAGTGCTGCGAGGTTTTCAGCGGATGACCTTCCGCGTCTGGCCTCCATGCTGGACCGAGACCAAATCTGCCCAGATCACCTATGGAGGCTTTTGGCCAGGCTGGGGATGGAGTTACCATCCCCGGCTTTGTTCAGCTATTCCGAGCCCATTTGCTGGCGGTGGCGGACGTGGATTTCATCCCACACCTTTGCCCATGGTGTTTGGTCCTCACTGTCAACGAGTGTCCAACCTGCGGTCTTGCCTGCTGCAACGAATGCCCGGGATGCTGGTGGACTGTGATTCGAGCTCTGGCTCAAATTAGCTCAGTTATCATGGCCGCGCTCATGGCAGGGCAGTTTCCGGGGAGAGATGCAGCGGAGGCAACGGGGCACGCAACGCGGGGCCCGAGAGTGGAGGGAACGGCGTGGCCTCATCCGTGACGACGACCTGGCCTATGCGTTCGAGAACTACGAGGACGCGCAGGTGGCCGGGGGGCAAACCTTGGCGGGCCAGTGGGTGACGGCTCGATCCAAGGCGCAGGAAGAGTTACTTCCAGCAGCTGCGGCCGCGGTGGAAGCTGCTGCCAGCAGCAGAGCAGCACCCACTTCATTTGCCCAGGCCGAAGCCCTCTTTCCAGCGGGTCGGGGTGACTCTGTCTGGACAGGATTATGCGCCTCTGACAAGGTGGTGCGCCGGGTGCCTTCGAAGAGATGGGGGTGAACAAGCCGAGCAACATCTTCTCGGGTCGCATCTACGATGAGTGGCGCCAGGGGCTAGAGCGACTAGCCCAGGACACACTCGGAAGCTGCCGCCCTCAGGACTTGGACGGAACTGCGTGCCTTCCTGGAGACGCGGGGCCGGCAGGAGATTGAGCAGGTGGCTTTAGACGCCTTCATCCACACGGGCACACTTGCCCCATCGCGTGCATTGGCTTCCTTGAAGTGGCTGTCGAAGTCAGGGAGACTGGCGTGGGACCTGCAGGGACTGCCGCCAAAGAAACAGAGCGTG